TACCACAAACGAAAACCCAACTAAAACATCTGGTTTAGGACTTCCGGACGGTTATAATGGCACACAAGACACGGACGAACAACCAAACCTAAAAAATAAATCCACAGAATGATTCAAAGTGAAACATACTCCCAAAAAAGCTCGCGAAACAAACTTCTCTAGTACTTTATACTATTTGAGAATTACCAGCCAACATACCCCATGATAATACCGCACGCTCGAATGTGAACTCTGTGTGCAAAACTGTACTAATATTGGATACTGGTTTTTCAAATGCCTAATAATTCTTGCCAAAACGCTTAACACTGGTGGCTTGCATCTGTATTGCTGTTCAAGATTACACTACGAGTGAAAGTCGCATGGGCATTTATATTCACGCGGGCTAGATGGTTACGTCGACACCTGCTGTCATCCGAAATCAATGAAGCGAGTTTTGGTTGGCCGATGATGCTATAAACATGTGAATTGATTTTAGAATAAACGTTTATCTAACGAAACCTGGAACTATACCGACAAGTTAAACATCGCGGTCACATGTAACGCAAACGTCGAATATTGTGCGATTTCGGTGCCACTTTATAATGAGAAGAGAATGGTGGAACTAGTAAGCAATCTGTACGTTCTGTGAAGTTATATTTTCCTGCATACACTTTTGATATTATGATGAGCTCTGATGTCCCATCTTCTATACCATTCAGGACAGCTCAATTAATGTAGATTTCTCAACCATTATCAATTTGATGATGCCCGTGAACTGGCCTCTCCCGGTTTGAATTCTTAATTTGAGGACAAAATATTTATTTATTCACAAGCGAGTCTGAAGCTAGGCGCTGCCTCAAACGCCAATGTGAGCCGATATACCAGAACCACGTGCATGGATGCAGCGCCATAACAATGTAGTACAAATTCGGCACTTCCCTGTCGCGCTGGCAGTGCGCACTCCTGTTATAGCTTTTGCACTCGAAGGCTGGATGATCTTTGGCTACAGGAAAAGCGCATGTGTGACGGCCGTCACCATGTCCACGAGATTTGTTCAGATGCTTCCGTCTTACTCTTTGATATTTCTATCCGGTGGTTTTCACGGGTAGGTCGGGAAAGATGCTAAGTGTCGCTGGGGAGCTGTGTTTGCTTGACTGGGGACAGTGACATTTACAGTGCTATGAAGATTGGGGGTCTGGTTGACTTTAAGTGTTGCAAGCCATGAGAGTTCCGTTGAGCTGAGCCTAGATGGTGCGTTAGCACCCTTTAGAGCTTTCTTCGACACTTTTCGACATCTCTGAGCTCCACCCGCAGTACCTACTGAGACTGAGGTGGTCACTGACTGTAGTAAAGCCGTACTCAAAGCGCTTCGGAAACCGGCTGAATGAATATAATAACAGTTTCAATAAAGAGAGTAGAGTGACAAATATGTAAAGCAGGTAAACAGAAGACCTTCAACCTTACCTTCAATTGTCTGCTACCGCGACCCTTTTGATTTCAGAAACTATTAGGTCCTAGAAGTAGAGGTTAGTGGGATATGCTTTGATGCAGATGCAGCAACCTGAGCGTACAGTTGTCCATTTGGAACCTAGTGGTGGTGATGAAGTAATCAGTAGTACGTTCTGCATAAGAATCTTTACTAAATTGTTGAAAAGGTAGTCAAAAGCTCATAGCGGATAGTCGTAAATGAGGATTTCGTCGAGAAAAAATGGACACTAGCGAAAGCGTGTTACTACTCGACGGGTGAACTCAACGGCTTTCAGTACTCAGTCGTAATCCCACGGTCCTAGTGAGAAGCATGGTGTGCTAATTCTCTGCAATTCTTGGATGTGATTACGGAAGAAGCTGACATCACCTTTTCTGGAAACGAGTTCCAGTCACTAACGCCTCTGTGAAAGAACCAATACTCCACACGAACATGATTCGACCACGGCTTTTAATCACTTTTGATGGCCTGAAAGGTAATCGATTCATTGTTCAGGATACGGAAACCTAATAGCAATTTGCATCTTTTCGTACTCTATCATGTACGAAATGAGCACTGTTAATCGCTGTTCGTAAAGGAGGTGGGGAAGACCCAGCTTTCAAATTGCAACAACTCTTAGAACCCGTCTCCTTATATCAGATCCCTTCCTCAGGCACGAATTAGCCTCGCGGATAGTACTCTAAACAAGGCCTTAGGTAAATCAGTTGTGAGATCAAAGATGCCTACTGCTTCGGGGGACTCGAATGCTCTAAGACGCAGACAAACCATGGAAAGGGCTTAGGCTGCAGAAGCAATATAATGAGCAGTCGTCTGAAACTCATGACTCATGATGATCTCTAGCTCATTTTGTTTCAACATCTGAGGAATTAGCTGACTGATCATTCAGCAGCCGCAAGAAGGGTAGTTCTCAATGAACAATTTTTAACCCTTTTCACCGCACTCGAGTTGGTGGAAAAAGTTGCGCTCGGCCGAAGTCCCGGGGCCATGTGGTTCGGCTTCTTATGGTAAATATCACCAGGCAGCATGGAGTATGATAAGTAGATCGAACAAGCTAGTCCACGAATGGACCGATGGAAATGTGGTAATTACGTCTGAAGTTAGATTAGCAGGTGACTAGCTGATCGGCATCCAGATTCAGATATGTTGTTCGAGGAAGGAAGAGTATGAGTTTGCATTGATATTTTTCTAGTAGATCTCTCCATTTATCCAGTCCTAAATTAAGTGAGCTGGTTAATGACTCGGGCGCCACTGCTTTTCACGGCCGTTTCCAGTGACTGAGTACCCGGTACGAGAGCTGGTGATCTACGAAGACTGCGTTCGTCCTTCGATTTTGTATTATCTCCCTATGTCATTTGAGGCTCCCCAACTTAGTGACAGAGAAGTGGTAAGATGGAGCAGGTCCAAAGTCATTTCTTGGGACCCTGTACCGTGCGACCGGATCTCCCCTGTCTGTATTCAGTTAAAGGGAAGGGATTCAACTCCTTAAGTCGACCTTCGTGGATCGGGCCAATTATCGCAGAGATCATAAAAATGGCTGCCCTCTGAACCCCTTCCATAAGGTTTGAGTCATATTTCAGGCAGGCATTTGCCGCCTGTGTACAATTTTCCAGTACAGGCTTAACTGAGGATTTGTGTAAGCTGGTAAACACATCACCATCAATTTTCAGAATTATGCCCGATTCCCAGTATCCCACGACTCCCGGCTACCGCCAACTGTCGGTGCACCGCGGTCTCTGGACCATCTCTTACTGTGGCTCCTAGGTCACTCTGGGTCGGTAGTGAGGATGTAAGGGTGCTGCCAATACCGTAGGTGTCACCATCTGCATGCCCCATACGCATGTTCACACACTTAACTGTGTTTATGGGGACTAGCCCTTTTTCTGACCAGCTAAACGAACCGTTTAGGTCTGCCGTAAGCGCACATACTCCCTTGTCATCTTTAATTTCTCCCCAGCATTTGACATCATCAGGGCAGAGAACCGCAGGGGACTTCAATTGGTTTGTGTTGAAGAAGGAGCGAGCGGCACAAGACTAGGCCTTGCGGCACTCCACCCCCTACTGAACTACGAGAGGAGGGTTGGAAACTGATCCTCGCTCTCTGTCTCCTACCAACGGGAAACTCTCTTATCTATGCAAGCGGACTGCCGGTGGTTCCAAAACTTCCCAGTTTCCTGGGAAGCAACCTGGAATGGGGTGACACGTAGAAAGTCCTACTAAAGTTTATGAAAATGGCATCTGCAGGTACTATATAATTTTTGGACTAAACTTAACTTTCTCCGACTGTGAAGAGGTTCACCAGGCAAGACAAACTTCCAAAAAAACAATGTCGCGAGCCAGATAACGGGGTGTTGCTCTCCAGGTAAACTGTCGTGGCTCTCTGGATTACTCTCTCCAGGATTTTCGATGCGGCACTAGTTAAATTCGCCGACCAATAATTTGGTGGGTGTTGCCCAGAACCTGTTTTAAAGATAGATATAGCTGTGACGCTTTTCCAGCCATAAAGGAGCGCACCTTCGCTGAAAGGCAGTCTCAACATCGTAGCCCATGCACTACCTACACAGGCCATAAGCACTGGCAGCAACCCGCGCGGCTCCGTTGATCTTTCGATACCCACGGTACTCAGTCCTAAATACATCACTGCAGTCGATATCCACAGAGTTTATGCTGCTGATTGTAAACGCGTCTGCTGCTGAATTAGTGTTCACAGGCAGTTGCGCAGCGAAGATCTCAGAGAAACATCAAACTCTTGCTTTTGATTTTTCATATCGTCTGCGACTAAATGGTTATATTCTGTCTCCCTAAGCGGATAGGGCACGCCACATCCACCTCACTTTCGTAGATCATATTAAAATAATTTTTTGGGTTATGCAGTGCAGCCTGCGCAAGACATATTTCAGAGCACAATCGAGGCTGCCGAATAATAGCAATATGTTCACTTTGGGCCTCTTTGCTATGCTTTCCCCCCCCCAAAAGTGCAGGGGTGGGTGTCAAGGCCTCAACACTTCTGTCGTAGCAGGCTTGGGATTTCCCGGTCCACCCACAGAAGGCAACGTTTTTGCCCCTTTGGGTCGGTCTACAGAATGGACAGTTAAGTCAGTTATGGATATATGTACGATAAAGCACGATACAGCCTCGACCAATGCTTCTGAATCGACTGTTTAACCCTCCTGAAGAGGCTGGTGAGTTGATAGCTGCCAAATTCACCCTCTGCTCATCGGGTATATCTGGGGCATCGATCCGACGAAAGATGGCCGCTGTTATCCTGAAGGTGGCCATAGGAAGTAGAAAAACATACTCTTGCACATTCTTGAAACGTCCTCAACCTATCTTTAGATGGGTTGACAGGGCCATGAGTGAAAATATCACAGTAGGTCGAGGCTGACTCCAGAGTGGACAACATCGCACTACATAGCTCTTGCAGTGAGGCGGAGGTGGAACAAAAGGTTTCCATACTGCACGGGTGGACCTCCGCCATCAGAATTGGGTGTATTTTCTATTCGATCCAAGTGCGAAAACACGTCAGTCAGATGGTAACATGAAAAATACTGGTCGTTGTGCATCGCCGTCCATCATACTTTTATTATTGAGAATATTCAACTGCCAGCGTTATCCAGTTTTAAAATGTAGTGTGTGCAGTCTTTTTTGAAATAAAGTGACCCCTATTATTATTATTATTATTATTATCATTATCATTATTATATTAAATTCCTCCGCGTGCTGATGTTCGTGCCAGGTTGCTGCCCTAATGTGCTGAATAAGGGTCAAGGAAATTAACTTTCCAGCTGATATATGATCGGATGATTTAAGTGATGCTTCTGCTGATGTTCCGTCCCAATAGACGGGTGTGGCGTCGAGGGTTTGTATTACTAGGAATCCGCAGTCATCTGTTCTTATACCCAACTTATTCAGGAGTCGGCCCCATGTCTCGTGGTCAGGGCTTCGATGTATTACGATTATGTTAGCAACTTGTCCCTAGCACTTCAGTCGGCGGCGCCGCGTTTCGCATGTCTCACTTTCCCCCGCAATTGTTTCCATGACTCTCACGGTTAAGGTATTCTTAACTTAAAGGATGGCACCGGCACCGCGTGTTAACCTATCACTTCTTAAAAGAATGAATCCTCGTAAATGTGTTTCATTGTCACTGATCTTCGAAGACAGCCAAGTTTCTGAGACAGTAATGATGTCAAGGCCTTAAACGTCGGTCATATTACTGAGCACAGCCCCTCAATTCGGGAGACTGTGAGCACCTGAGCACAAGGTGACAGAACCACTTGAACAAGTTTTCGTCCAATCCTCACCTACCAATTGTAGATCGTTCTTCCCTACCGCTAACCCGGGTTTCAATTATTCTCCCGCTTCTCTGTCAGCGTTTGACAAATCCTTACGCGCAAATACCTCCCTTCCATCTAGTCTATGAGCGTTCCCCAGGATGTGGTCTTGCTCCCATTTTGATTGGACATGAATGTAAGTTACCGAATCCTGTTTTCGGCAAAGACTACCAGTTATTTTGAAGCACCAGACTGTGTATGTGTTTTGATGTACTTCATTTTTGTTGGTTACGTGCTGTCTTTGGCCTGAATTCACGTTGCAGAGCGTTTCAACATGTCCTCTCCAATGATTGATCATGCAAGGGAGCAGCTAGAAGGTTGAAGAACGTTGGCGACTGGCAGTCGATATCCATGCATCGACAGCCGCCATAGCAGTTGGAAACCATAAGGGAGAGAAAATGCGCCACCCTTTTCTGTATAGTATTCTAAGGTTTGGGTACCATTGTTCGTAGCCCGTATACTCGGATTACTTGCGCAGATTCCTTCGCTCGATTCTGCTGAATATGTTTTCAAGAATGCTGCTCTCATGAGTCATTTTATGCCATAGTGGTGTCGAATCAAACCCTACGATTTAAGTGCCAGCGGCAAAAAGAGAAGGCGCCACCTAAATGTCTTTCTATTTACCAACGATATAAAGGGATAGAGGACAACAGATAGGCAAGAGGGTCCCAGGACACCCAGTGATGATCTGCTGCAGCTGGAGTCCTGACCAGCCGCTAACTGCTTTAGCTTTAACGTGCATAGGTACGAGGTGATGTATCTTCGCAAGTCAGAAGCGATGCAAACAACCTGCACCCTCAGAAAATGTGCAGTGACTAGAGTATCTAGGGAGTAAAATCTAGGACTAAACTTCTCTGACATACTGGATTCTAGTGCCAACTATAATAGAGTGGCGGAAATGACGAAGAAGGCAGCTTACAGCTCCAGGTTCAGGATTAGTTCTATCCGTATTTAGAATCTGCGCGGGACCACACCTGGAAGTATTCAACTCATTAGCCTCCCTCTACCAAAGAGAGGTGCGAACATTACCAAGGAGGCACGGAGAAGAGCGACAAGATCGGTCGTCGAGGTAATTGTCAAAACATATGGGCAAGGCCTTGAAAAACTCAACTCGTCTTTATTAGGGATGACTTGGCAGCAGCCTACAAGATTATTCACCAACTGGACCACCAAGATAAGTTGACATTATCGAAACGAAATTGACGGTCTCGCGGAAACCCCTTTGGCACACTCCACCATAGGGCAAAGACGTGAGCGAGATCAAACTTCTCTCCGGATACAGTGTGTGCTTTGTGGAACGTTCGTCCGAAAAAAGTAGCCACGGAAACATCAGTTGACCCCTTCAAATGCCTGCCGGATAAGTACGTGAGCGTAAATGGTCTACCACAAACATTCATCGGTGGCAACGTAAGAGAAGCTCATCGATCCCTGTATTCCTCTGCCCTAATATCTCCAACAAGATGCATCGATTCTCCATATCATTACCAGAAACACTTATTTTTCCATAAGTACCTTCACTCGTCTTCTTCTCATCCCCGTCCGCCCTACTTGTAACACGCTTTAAGTAACACTCAGTACTTATCTGCAGGTACCGACAAAAACAGGAGTCGCAAAAGGTTAAGCGATTCTATCAGCAGTTATGCTGCCTCTCTTCCCAAACAAACGAAGCTGCAATCTGAAAGAAAAATACCTTCACTACCTCCAAAGCTAAAGGCAGAAAAAAACGTATAGACTTCTGCTACCACCAAGGAAGTACAATCCAACGAAAATAATCCAGAAGCGAGAGATCAAAATCTCCAAGTTTCCTCTGCTGACACAACTGTTATTGGATATTGGATTTTAGATATGGAGTAGTATCTAATTAGCGACTCATACAAATTATTTCTATCCCAAGGTCAGTGACATGTGGCGAAACGCTCAACTTCACGGTTCCCCGAGTTTTTTTGTCCCTCCTTTTTTCAAAACTGAATAGTCCTTGATTGGCATAGGATTTCTTGAACACCCACAGACAGTCTCTCGCACACTTTAGATGTCTTGAGCAAAGCCCTGGGAGTACATTGTGTGCCTCCGAATTTTCAGAAACTTGAGGCGCGTTGGGCAACCTCTAACGTTAATTCGGTGCAGAACTGTAGAAGCTAACCGTCCCATTGAAGTATCTGAATCACCGTGGAACAACCAAGTTAAAGGTATGGGGTTGTTCCATAATCTTTGACATCCAACGGCTTCAGGATGTTTGTAAATAGTATGTCATAAAACGATGGAGTTTTCCCAATTTTTAAGGACTTATGGGTAAGGAATAAATACTCTTTTACTAGCTTTGGGGCTGCGGATAAAAATACTCAATGTTTTCTCCCGAGGCTTTCGGGATATTAAATAACGTGGGAGAATCCAAATCAAAGTTGTGATCACTCTTATTTATTTTTCTCCACTAAGTAATCAAGGTAAGTGTCAGGATGTCATATGGTGCGCCTCTTAGTGTAGAGTCGTAGCCTGATATAAGCTAATTTTACTCCAGACATTTTAAATTTAGGTACGAGACTAGCACTTAAAGGAATGTGAGAAGTAGGTGAATATCGTAAAGACATCATACATGGTGCACTTTTGCCGTAGATATGGCTAACAGAACTGGATATAAAATACTAAAATTCCAAGGTTACTCAGTTGGTCATTCAGGGGCGGCAGGATATTTTAGTTTCACTTTATCAGGGAATACCCTAGCTTGTTACAATTCTCGAGGTGCCGCTAAAGTCTTCTACCCTGAAAAGTCCAGTGTTTGCCGGTTGGGATGTCGAGTCTGTTTGCAGCTTTTGTCTGATCTCTGCGAGTGATTTCTACTGTAACATGTCTACCTACCAATAAGTCAGACTATGCGGATATGAAACATTTAGTTTTCACACAGGTGAACTGCACTCAGTTGTTTTAGTATCTTAACTGGGTTTCTGACATCATCTCAGACCAGTACAGTTCGCTAAACATTTCTTGGTTGGGGGGCCTAGATACAGGCATTTCTAGTCCCGAAACAACAATAAGGTAATATCATGGAAATCATTCTGAACACTTGTCTATTAAATGCTTATTCTGACGGAGTAGGTAGACGAAATAAGCGATAAAGAACAGGGGAAAAACGTCTTGTTGACTCATGTCTTCACAATTATTGAAGCGAAGCTCTCTTGATAACTGCCTCCATGTTTATGCACTAAGCAATAAGCCTCACCTATTGTGTGAGAGCGAATGATGCCATCTAGTTGCTTAAACCTCAGTAGGTGAGCCAGGGTCCGAACCTATCACCTATTGAATGAATGTCAACTACCTAGACCAATAAGCCACAGCTTTACTTTTAATATGCACGTTTTTAGCATCCACTCCTCACAGATACTCATGCATGAATCAACTATTAAGTATCTAAGCACCTCCACTAGTGCTAGTTCAGGCCGTCGGTAGTAAATCTAGTCTAGATTTAATATCACTCGCCCAAGGTTGCCGAGTATTACATGCTATGCAACAATATTCTGCCGTTGTAAAACCACTAATCCACTGGAAAATAGTTTCAAAGCTGCTATTACGGAGTGGATATACCTCAAAAACTCTCCTTTCAGTCAGTCGTTATCAATATTAGGCCTAGTATTGCGGCATAAATGCCGGTTGCCACAGGACATCGCAATACAAAAAAACAAAATGAAAGTAATGATATAATATAATCCAAAGTGAAAGGCCGTAGAAAGAGAAGATGGGAGGTACAGCAAATGAAGCGTGTTGTGAAGGCTACGATAAAGACGAGATATGGATGCATATACACCAATGCAGTCGATTCTAATCCTCATCACCTTGAGCCTTCACTCACTGATTTTGGTTATCGCATGAACCCCAAGCTCATCATCTGCCTATTCTAGTTCGACCAAGGGGTCTCCTACTAAGAGCGATTCCAGGTCAGACTAGGAAAAGGAGACTCGTATAGAAATACCCAAAGTAGTTGAGTAGAAACGGAGTAGACATCGACTGACACCAGTCAGTGTAGACAACTCACTGAACGCCTTACCATGGGCCATAACATGCCCACAGGTATTCAAGTGCGGAGTTATCAGTAAAGTGATGTAACTACTTGTCATTACTTTCGTTGGGACACTGCTATTAAACCTCTCAATCAGCTGAGTCGAATACCATCAGTTTAAAAAATGTGACTAATATTTGGTGCTGGTAAGTATAACCGTATTTCAAGATTTGGTCGACACATCTGCGGCTAAGTCTAAAACCTATCTGGTTTCAGTGGCCTCCTCTGCAAGTAAATCTCACACACATTTTCCTCTGATATATTGTTACTAACCGAAGTATATTTTTACTTCACTTTCCTTAACAAGTCTAAATAACAGTCTAATATTATCTATCAAGTCCGACTGTTCCGTCTCTAACCTACACTACCTACCATTTCTGACGATCAACCTACATTCAAGTTGCATCCACTCCTCATTATCTTCACAGTCAGATCAAAACCTGGTTCCAGATCATATGGTCGCTAACCATATGTCTGTACCCTGCAGGAAGATTTCTCCCTCGTCATTGGGTTTCCTGAGACAATGAGATTCAACAGTTGGTGTCAATAAAACAAACAAAATCAAAGTAGGACATTGCCCGGATGTGTATCAGTCCAAGTTGCCACATTTCGTAGTGACATTCAAAAAACAACTGTGTAGCAAAAGGAGTGGTACCAAAATAGGTGTATGTGAAAAAAAAATCGGAAATGGTTGGTGAAAATGCTCAAGCTATAGAAGACTTCAAAGAGTGAATATATCTGCACCATTGTAACATATCAACAAGTATCTCCAACAGTTGATTGCTATCGTGTCGAGCACCTCAATGAGCCATTTTACACCTTACTACACGGCTCAGAACAAGTCACAAACTTCATCGACTAGTGCCACGTCTTGGTCTGACCACTTTCAGCCGTATCACCATCAATATCAACGTAGGACCAGGCATTACTGCGTAACGGTCTGAGTTGCCACAGCTCATATTAGTATATCAAGTAAAAAGGCAGTGAGATGCAAGACGAAGATAAGAAAATTCAGTCAAAAGAAACATAAAGTACGAAAAGAGAGGAAGAAAGAGTGAGAAAATGATGAGATTCGGTATAGCGTCGTTAATTGAAGACGATATAAGTATTGTTAGTTGAGAGATGTGAAGGAAGATAAGAGAGTAATGATGGGGGGTGAATAGCAGTCTGAGGAAACTTGGGTTACTGATAGAGTTGCAAGGGCGGTTGACACTTCCCGGCTGCCCACACCGTGGTAGGCTGTTTCTTCTGAAGGTACCTGAAAGAGATTTGTGTGACTGCAGAACCCATCGGACATCTTGAGGCCTGTCACACTCGACCTTTTGTGTATAATTATTCTGAACTTTTGTATTTTTGGGGCTGGATGGTCAAAAAGAAACGACGAATGAACTAACACCGCCGGCCCGGTAGACCGTGGGGTATGGTGGAGTGTTATTTTGAGGGCTGACCTTTTCTAATCCCTTTCCACTGAGAAGGCAGCATCAGCATGGCACTGCTGGTCATCCAAGGAAAACACCTTACTGCTGTCACACTTCATCCAGCTAGCAGCAGTACGACGATTTACACCACAACGCTAACTACTTTTCGTCTAACCACTATCCAACAGACTTTTCTTGCATGGTAGGACTTCGAGAGAACAAGTGTTCCACCAGCATAGCTCGTTGGGTCATTGTGATATGCAAGCCCGACCACCACATCAAGGTAGCAGCTATCGGTCGGGCCTTCAGCCTTCTTGCAACCTAACCCTATTTCAGCTACTATTTCAAGCAGGGTTGGACAGTGCATAGGGATACGCAAAGCATGTCCAAACAGTCTCAGTCGGTGGAGGTTTATAACCTGACTTGCCATGTTTGCTTAGTATTTTCTGCTTAACCTATACACTGTCCGCACGATGATTCTACCATACGCAAGCAACGCTACGAAGGCACCTATAATCAGAAACCTGTAATCTCTTCATAGCTTTTACTTTCCATGACCACATCTCACACTTCATAATAGGATAAAGTGAACCGGAATGCAGTATATTCCTTTGATAAATAGTTGGATACCTCGCCGGCATAAGTTGATAAATGATACATGGACCTAGTGTATATGAGCTGAGATCTCTCTAGTAAGCAACTCATTTGGGTTGATGCAGTTTCCCAAGTAACTGGAACTATCAACGCGTTGCATCACTTTCCTGGGTTTCGCTAAACTAGGAGTCGGTGCAGATCGATCATGAAGCACCATCCTACGTTTGACAGATGAAGAATCCACGCCAAACATACTCAGATTTCTACTTAGGACGTTCAGAGGACTCTGTGTTTTGTCAGCTGCTCCACCTAGCAAGAATTTATCTTCATACTTCTAATCAACAGGGTGCCCTTCAAGGGGTACGTCAGTCCCTGTGAGTTCAAAGGTACCTAGGGTTATTTCTACCAATACATCTATAACAAAGTGAAAAGGAAACAGTAACATCGGGTATCCCCGGTGGACACCACCTGATAAACCCTTACACAGCCGCGTGAGTTTCAGTGCAGAGGTTTGGTTTGCATTTCAAACTTACTCGACACTCCGTCTACAGTTAGACATTGCAGGAACACCCCATAGTCGACAGAGTTAAATGCCACCTCCAGGTCAACAAATATGACAAGTATTGCCTACTGGTAAGTATGCATGTGTTCCCGAACCTGTCGAAGGATGAAGATTTGATCTACGTACCCTAGTCCATGTTTGAAGCCCGCCTAGTCTCCTCGAGCTCCAATTAGGCGTATGATAACTACGGACTCAAGGATCTTGGACATGATATTAGTTAAATTGATTCCCCTGAGGTTTTCACTAGAGGATATCTCTCCTTTCTTGTAGAC